AGCATTCCGTAGTCAAATTCAGTATAAAAACAAAGGCCTAAAAATTGGTACGAATACACTTCACCCAGTATACAACCCAATGCTAACAAGGCCATTATAACGACCATAGAATTTACGAGATGCTGATTTTAAAGGAGGTTTTTGAAATCCCTGTTACATCAACTAACTGTATGTAGCCTGCCCCGGTTTAAAAATTGATCATACTCGGAGCATGCTGGTGGAAAAATGAAAAAATATTGTCATTGAAACGTGACTTCACTCGGGAGAGACAAAATCTATACTATATATTTGCTGTCGTATACGATTATAGTGGGATACATTTTTTTGGAGGTATTGAAGAAGGTGGATGGTGAGACATCAGCATTTAAATCATAGGCTACTAGCTGTCTCCACCACCATTTTGAGGAGAACAGGAGAAAATATGTGCCTCCTCCTCCAGCGTTTTTGATCTTAGTGGTTATTTTATCACGAAATCCCCCCAACACACACACACCTTCTTTTAATTTGTGACTAAGCTTCTTCAGATTGACCGCAATGAAGCATAAATCAATATTTTCGAATCAATGTTTTATTTTAAATTGAATTAATTTATAGCAATATAACCAAATAAATAAAATACGGTGCTTTAAATTATATAAAAACACCTAGATACGATGCAAAATAAGTGTATGAATAATAAATTATGACACTTCATATGTTGACAAGACATTGTACAAGTTATAATGCAACAATAGTAGAGACCTATACACTTCCGTAGATAAGTTGTATGATTCATAAACTTTGATGCCTAAATGTGATCGCAATCATACAATTCATTCACAAATTAAAATGGCATGGTTTTTAGAGAATTTCAAAGTTTGCAAATCAGGAAATTAAAAAAAAAACAACTCCGTTTTAATCATTTTTACCAATTTGTAAGCGTATAGGTTCTACATTTGTTGTGATATAACTTGTGTACATTGACTTTTTAATTACCTTATTATGATGAAATATGAAGGTAACGAACAGTAATCAATCTCAAAAGTCCATTAAAACAATACAAACTTGGAGCTGAGCAAACACGGACCTCTAAACACATCAGAGGTGGAAGTAAATAAAAAGTGTTACAACTTCTTATTTATACATGTATATACATATTTTGTATTTTTTTAAAATAGTTTTTTAATACCTAATTTAAAGCTCCTTCTTTTATTACATTCGATGTATCCACGACAGTTGATACAAACTTTTTTTCCTTAATCATGGAAATAATAATTATATAAGGCTAACTTTTGTTTTTAGAAACAGTTTTAACAGTGACCAAATTTTGCTAATATTCCTGATTGTTGTTACCATAGTTATGAAACTGAGGTATAATACTTGTACAATCTTGATTTTTTTGAGTGTCATGTCTTTTTAACCTCCACACTAAGCATGTGTTGGAATACATGGTCATACACATATCTACAAAGTTGTGTTTTTTTTCAATTCTTTATTGCAATAACCCTTTAACAAAAAGGTAGAGGTAATGCCTCATCAGAGACCCTCACAAATATATCATCACCTGGGGTGCCAGGAGCTCCCTGGATCAGATAGAAAAATTTGATATATGATATATCTAAGTGTACATATATTTTGAGAATTTTACATCATATCAAAATTAATAAATATGTATTAAAATGCACTTCAATAAGATAAAACGATAGGAAAAATACACAACTACATGTATAGATAATAGAACATTTTTTAAAAGAATATTCATAAATATTTAGCGTTTTATATAAGAAAAGAAAAACTATAGCAATTTCACAAGAGATAATCGTAGGGGGTACCAAGCCGCAACGCATAGAGTCCACAATTCCCCCATACGATTGCATACTCCAAAGGCCAGGCCACCTTTGGATAAATAAAAAATATCACAATTTTTCAGACAACTCTTTGATGATTTTGAAATCACATGCAATACTTTTTGCTAATTTTGTTATGAAATAAAACTGAGTAAGTGCATTTTTTAAGAAACACATTAAACTCTCATTAATAACACTCTCATTTAAAAGTCTGCATTTCATTTTATATTTATAAATTTTGTAGGCAATGAAAGACAATATATTGTTTAAAATAAAGGTACTTTTGTTACAGTATGCTGGAAAACCAATGACAATAACTTTCTATGACACATTTATATTTGGAAACAATGATGTTTTACTCCAAATAGGTTGTACTACACGGCAATCAAGAATAAGGTGCTTTATGTCTTCTTCTGCATTACAAATCGAACAGTTTTTATCTAAGTCTTTTTTCCATTTACTTACATACTTGTTACAAGTCAGTAAGTTATGCATCAATTTAAAGTTAAACTCTGACACATTCTTATCAAATATTTCTTTGACTTTTTCCTGGTAGATATTTTCCCATAATTGGAAGTCATCAATACAGAATAGCTCAGACCAAAATCTTTCCATTAAGAGGGCTGGGTGGTCGTGGCCATTTTTAGACTATATTAATCTCCTTTAGAAGAAGGGCTCCATAAAAAGATATACAAAAATGATCAAATTTTAAAACTAAAATGTATGAATTTTTTCTTTGCCAAATGATAGTTGACAGCTTAAGATATCATATCTAAAAAAATAAGTTATATCTGATGGTTAATTTGTTGACCCCCCAGCCTCATTAAAGATTTTTTTGATGTTTTGGGTAACAAGATATTGTAGAAGAATTTTGATTTTTTACCCTCAATTTGTTCAAAATATCCGTGAAAGTTGAAGCAGAGCTGTGAATTACTAGCGTTGGCTTTATTCTGTAGATTTATTTTTGGAATATGTTTCTTAAGAGCACTCTTTACAATCACGTACTCACAAAGGTAGTTTTGTGAACATATTAAATTTTCTTTAATTTCATTTATTGTTTTAAACCCGTGTTCATTAAAAAGATCATTCACATACTTATAACCACTTTTGATCCAGTTTGGAAGAAAAAGCGGTTTTCCTTTATACGTTATCTTTTTGTTAAACCATATATTCTGTAACTGGAATTTTTCTTGATTATTTTGTTTACATTCATTAAATGCACATATTACCTCTTTAAAAAATTGTGGGAGATATTTGATATTGAGATCTTGTATTCTAGTGATATTTGTTTTCAACAAATATGTGATATCTAAATTACATCTTCCTAAACAAGCACTTAATAATTGATTTGAATCCTTATTTTCCTGAACAAGTTTTGCAACCCATGATGCTTTTAAAGCTTTGACTTTGGTTTCAAAGTCAGTTATCTACAAAGTTAAGATAAGATAATATTTATTTAAAGTCGGGTAAATCAAACAGAAAACATCAGCTCTGAAGAGCTATTTTCCGACTACGGAATGCCTACACTATCTGAAAATAGTACTGACGCTTTGCGTTATTGACCATACAACTATTTAAGCCACATCATCTCAAATTCATTGATAACACTCTATAAGATCATCACTGCCTTAATTTTAATCCGTGATTTATCAAATGACTGATAATGTAGAATAAAATTGTCGTTATGCCGAGATGCCGAGAAGATCTACAGGGACGTCATAAATTTCATGTTCAACTATTTGTTTTAGGACGAAAGTCCTTAGTTCTTATGATCTGTTTGATAGCTTTATTGAGAATAAATACAGTAAAACCTTTTTTTCAGTCACCAAAAACAAGAAGAACAAACAACTTCTGGGATGTCAGGGAAACGTTCAAAAATTCAGTATAAAGTATGTTTAATGTACTTTAGTTAAGAGAGCAAATAAAAACTCAGAATAAATATTCATTTTTTTCATAGACTATTCACACCTATGTAAAAAACATTTTGAATGATTTGCACAATTATATCGTTGGTATCACAGTGGCTTGTTGTAATATTTTTGAAGTACTTTATGTTGTGTTTTCATATCAAATAACAGGCACAAGGGAGGAGCTTCAGTTCCAACTTTATTTTAAAATACTTTATTAATACATTAACACATTGCTAGTTTTTCACAATGCATATACTGCAGAAAAAAGTGAGGAAGGGCAACCAATCTTTCAATGAGCATTTTCAACAGTTAATGTTATGTTTGGAGAAAAAGGGTGGTTGGGACAGGCCTTTAACTCGACATTCAGGTTTATCAATTAACAATAGTTACTTCCATTCATATATCAGTTATCTTGAAATAAAAGACACCACAGAGTCTGCCACATTTATTTCATATTTGGATGTTTTACTGGCTATAGACGATAAGGATACACTAACACTAATTGTATGACAAACAAGATGACTTCAGCTATTCCACCGTCAACTTTCCTTGTTATACCCCCGCTTGAAAAGCGAGGGATGTATAGTGAAGGGGGTGTCCGTCCATCCGTTACGCTTTGGGGTACCCATCTTTTATCCGCGACTCCTTTTATACCACTGAATGAAATTAAAATTACTTTTTGATTCGACACTTATTTTAGGTCTCCCATAGCAAAACATGGACTTTGCCATTATAAACATATGGGAGGCGGGGTATCATTTTGTGAGCCCAGTGCTCACAGTACCTCTACTTTATATAGTAATATTCCGCTTTCACCTGCATATGGTGTTTACGTCTCCCAACTTTTTTGATACCCTAGAGCAAGCTCTGATAACGATCAATTTTTAAAGCAAGGCATACTACTGACAGATAAGATGATATTACAGGGATGTCAACAACCTCGTTAAAGTCAGCCTTTCATAAATTCTATGGTCGTTATAATGACATTTTTAGCAATATAACCTATCATTGGGTTGTATTTAGACTGACGTGTTTCATAACAACCGTAAGGTCTTTGTTTTTATACTGAATTTGACTACGGGATACTTACTCCTAGGCACCTGATCCCAACTCTGCAATTTCCAGGGGTCCGTGTTTTATGCCCTGTTCTGTTTGTATTGTTAGAAGATTTTTATGAGATCGATCACTGTTCGTTATTCTTCACCTTATCATGAAAAAGGACCAATTGTACAATGATGTACCATTTTTAGATTTTAAATGATCCTATATGGGGTCCGATCAAACTGCATCCATTATGTATAAAGATAATCGACACACCCGAGTTTCAACGACTGAGATTTGTAAAACAACTTGGCGGCTGTTCCTTTGTCTATCCTGGCGCATGTCACACACGATTCGAACACTCAATTGGGTATCTATCTATCTATCTATCTATCTATCTATCTATCTATCTATCTATTTATCTATCTATCTATCTATCTTACACTCAATTGGGTATCTATCTATTGATCTATCGATCGTGTGAATGTCACATTATCTATTACAGAACATCTCATCTAGCAGGACTTCTTGTTCGAACGCTTATAGATGAAGATAACATGAATCCAGATTATGGTATCAATATAGACGATAAAGATATTCTTTGTGTGGAGATTGCGGGGCTTTGTCATGATTTAGGTAGGATTGCAATAAATCCAGTTTTATTAGAATTTTAAAAAAGGAAAGTTAATATTTTTTAGCCACGTGTAACTATGTGATGTAAAGTACACTGTACAAAACACAACTCACTGATGAACTTCAAAAAATTGAAGTACATGTATCTCTCAATAAATGTAATTATAGATATGATTCAATGCTTTGTCAAACAAATACAATAAGTACAAAATGGGTGAATAAAATACGAGGTATATAACATTCAATCACACCTCTTCTTAGGTCATGGGGCATTCTCGCACTTGTTTGAATCGATGTTTATCCCAAAGATTGATGAAGATTCACATTCGAAGGTCAGAGCACAATTTGATATATACTGATGTATTTGCTATGTATCTCAAATAATTTCTTATGAAGTATGTGTATTTCCATGCAATAAATGTTTTGTTGCAGCATGAGAATGCTTCAATTAGAATGCTGGATCGAATTATCGACACTGACATATATGGTCTTAAAGAAAGCGCAAAAAAATTTGGACTCAACCTAGAAACAGAATCCGAAGATAGGAAATTTATCAAGGGCTTAATAGATGCGGTAATTCGTAAAGTTTAACATAGATAGATGTAAATCTATGAACTTACAGTGTTTATTATCTAAATATAGACTTACTCATTGATTTCTCTTTCTCTTAATTATTTATTCGTACAAACTGCTACTGCAATTTTCAAAAACTTTTTTCCATGATGACGAAGTCTGAAAGAAATTCAAAAAGAACAGAAGACAAAAAGGACTTTCTTTACGAGGTAATTTCTGAGAAATAAGTTTGTTGCAACACATTCTAATTTTTATTTATTTATTTATGGCAACAGCTGCATAAGATTCTTATATGATAGATAGTGGCCAATGAAGAGAACAAAATCGACGTAGATAAGTGGGACTATTTCTCGAGAGACTGCCATATGCTTGGCCTAAAGCATAACTTTCAGATTATGCGGAGCATCATGCTGGCTCGTGTCATCAAACACAACAAAGAATATCACATTTCCTTTCCTACAACGGCAAGACGCTTGTTTAAATATATCATTCTTTGCACTGTGTGAAACTTTTCTTCTTAAATATAAAAATTCAGTTAAAGAGGATTGTATTCCATTCATTATTCAAGATCATGCACATATACTGTAAAATCACATTTTATGGGGTCAAACATTTGTGATTTGAGGAAACATTATTGGTTCGTGGGGATTAGATTTCGTAGATGAAGAATTATTGAGTAGTTATATAAGACATTATACATTTCGTGGTGGACATAAATTCGTACGTCTCTTCATACCTCGAAATTAACGAAACTTAAGCCCCCGCGAAAATTAGTGATTTCACAGTATTTGCGAATGAAATGGATGCATATGCGAATATGATTATATAATGCATTTATTCATCATTTAGGAATACATGAACATTTTCGATATGTACCATGCACGGTATACCCTTCATCGCCGAGCTTACCAACATCCGGTCAACAAAGCTGTAGAAATAATGTCAGTTGTAATAAGTATTATTGCTCAATGTAATTAAATAAATTGTTTGTACATTATTTTTTGCAAGTTTTGAAATTAAAAATTTGTATCCCTCCCCCGGCAAGTGGTGGCGTCTCTAAATCTGTGAAAAATTCTCGAGAGGGACGTTAACCAACATTACAAAGAAACAAATAAATCACTTTGACGCTTAGAGGAATTAAACTGAAAACTGAGGAAGACTGTTTTTTCCAGCAAATAGTAGTATTATTTTTTAATGCACAAGGAACACATTTACAGAAATCAAATACATGTACAAAGCAAGAATGTTTTTTTTAAATTTTCTTTCATAAAATATGAAGCTAACGAACAGTTGTCAAGCTCTAAAGTTCATTGGAACAATACAAATTGGGAGCAGAGCAAACAGAAACTTCTAAAAACATCTGAGGTGGGATCAGGTGCCATGCATGGAGGAGTAAGCATCCCCTTTCAACCGGTCACACCTGCTGTGTGTTCCTTGTCTTGATCGGGCAAACGGGAAAATCCGGAGACAATTCAGTGTGAAAATAATGGCTTTACAATTTGTATGCAAAACTTCAGTCAGCATAGATTGTATTTCCTGACAAGGTCATTGTAACGATCATAGAATTTGCTAAATGTTGACTTTAAACGACTGCTGATATCCTTGATTCATCAACTTATTTGTCAGTAGCCTGCCTCATTTCAAAAATAGTTCGTACATAATAGAACATACTCTTTCGTATCGAATTATCTGGGTGACATAAACTCATCAGTTAATTCATCACGTTTATCATAAAATTTTGTTGTAAGTTTACCACTGATGTCCTTTTCTAGTAAAATATTAAAATATGAAACAGATGTTTCAGATTCTGTTGTGTCTTTTATTTTTGACTTCAAAGGAATATATCGAATCGACGGAGGAATGAAAAGGAACATTGTTAATTTATAAAATTCGTCGATATATCTAAAAGTCAAAATGAAGGCCACAGCAAGATACTTCTTTTTATCATGTAGAAGTTGTTTAATAGATTTTGATTCATGTCGGCTAATAACGGGGTGCAATTAGTACCCATGAGAATTCCAACAGATTGTTGGAAGACTTTATCTCCAAAATTTACATAGATATTGTCAATAAATAATTCTAGCATCTTATTCTTATCAACATTGGAGTACTTGTGTGTACAATTAACATTAGATTTTTTAAAAACAAAATTATTTAGCAGATAACAATGAAAAGGTATATAAATTAACCAATTCTATTTTTATTGAAAAAGCAATTGTCTCTGAAGCCAAAAAGCCTGGAGTTCATTCATTGTTGGGAATTGTTGTATAGAATGTTAAAAAGTCATATGCTATTTATTTTGGTAAAATGTTGTGATTTCAAAGTTCCTTGGACTTTTTTAGTATCCATATCTGATTAATAACACTTCTCGAATATATTGTTGCACAGTACTTAATCCTTTAAGTTCCTTCCTTGGTGTTAATATTTTGGTGAGGCATAAAGAAAGAGGCTCGGTAAAAAAAATTATTAGAACCCGCTTTGTTTCTTTGATTGTTATGTAAGGATTTTTATGTAGATGAGGAATTCAGTATAGGCATGGTAATTCAAATTCATTTTGATTGTTGGGATCATTAAAACCAACTAATAAGAAAAGTTATATAATAAGAAATTATGTAGGAAGGAGAATTTTCAACATTGATTTTTTTTCTTGATAGGATCGCAGATGCACTGTATTTAGCCAATGAGAAGCTGATATATAGGTTTGTATGTTTTACGCCATACAAAAGATGTTTCATGTTATGCTTGGGATTTGCTTTAATCTAGGGTTGGAGATGGAAAGGAAGAAATAAAATTATCAGACACAATTAACAACATGGAGGCATACACTCTTGTTACTGACGGCGTCATTGATCGAATTCGTTTTGAAAACTTCGAAGAAGATGAAAAATTCAAGAAAGCTAAAGAGATAATTGATAGAATTTTTAGACGCGATTTTTATAAATGTGAAAAGAAAAGTGGAATGGAGAGAAGAGTACAAGAATCCAAAGTAAGTTATTCATGTTTCCATGGTAAAAAATGAGCAAAATGTATTTTTACTTCTTAGATGATCGGAAGTGTAATAAATGAATGCTAGTTCATTACATTGCTAAATTTCATAGGGTTTGAATATAAGTAGATTTCGATGTTGAGGATTCTAACAAATTCATATCTTGCTCCAATTAAAAAAAAAATTAAATTACGATATCTTCTTCAATTCTTTTTCAATCACATGATCAAATCCTCACTAATTAATATTTATTTCTCAAACAAGGAAAAATTTAGTGATTTTACGGTATTCTGGATAAAGGAAATTCGTAATCTTTAAGCAAATATATATACGACATACAGTAAGAGAAACATTATTTTAAGATAATTGTTTAATCAGTATTTTTTAATTAAATAAAACATTTTTTAATGTTATTTGATATAATTCCATTTCTGCAAAATTAATTCCTATATTTATGTTCTAGGTCATTGCGTGTCACATCATAGCAATACGGCGGGCCTTTCGTGTAATAAATGCAGTTCTATTCAGAATATCCGTCTCAAATGTAAATATAAGTAATAAACAACAATGCTAAAAAGTTCACTGTGAAATGAACTTGGTTGTTACGTGATAAAATCTACATATTTTAGACTTGTTGTATTTTTAGAAAAAGAATTCTATTGATGTCTTTCTGGCATTTAACTGGACTTCTGTTTACTGTGAATTTGCTAATTTTCATGGCGGTTAAATATTTTTCTTGTTATAAAGACTCGAACTGCAGTATCATGTTTCTTCTTCAACCACATAATCAAATCCCAACGAATCTCATTATTTATTCCCCAAATTAAAAAAAAATGAAAAATTAAAATAGATTTAACATTAATATATACCATTTTATTTAAATAGTGGAAATCTTATTTCTAAAATACTTAATTTAGCCAAAAAATATTTTAAAGAAAAACCAGAGTTTTTTTTATATTATTTGATATAATCTATTTCTGTTTGCAAAAAAGAGATAATTTTATTGTTATTTTTCAAAACAGTGTCTTTAATTTTCAGCTCGCTTTAATAAGTTAAAAACAGCCGTGTTCTAAATATTAAATAATATTGTTTGTTTGTTTATTGTTTAACGTCCCTTTGTAGAATTTTTCACTCATTTGGAGACGCCACCACTTGCCGGTGGAGAGCTACAAATTTTGACCTATACTCGGCACTTACGGCCATTGAGCAGTGAGGGATCTTTTTCGTGCCAGCACCTACTGCGACACGGGACCTCGGTTTAAACGGTCTCATCCGAAGGACCGGTCTCCACGTCCCACAGTGGGATTCGAACCTGCGACGTAAGGATCATCTCCTTACTCCGCGACTCTAGAGCGAACGCTCTAAACACTGCGCCACGCGGGCGAATCAAATAATATTAAACACAATGTGTCTTGATGTTCACGTACTTTCTTGACTACAGTTTTTTGAATATTCCAGATAACTTGTGTAATATGATATTATATTACATGTACATATAAATCTTTATTTTACCACAGCCTCTATATACTTTGCTGTGTTAATATTGTGGAAATATGTACATTGTATATTAAATATATCTATCTAATAACAATTGATCGGTATTTGCTCTGATATTAAGCTGTCTCTGGTCTGCAATTTTTCACACTCATTACACTGCTTTATTCTGCTATTTGTCTTTCATTTATTTATCAATAAAATTGCTATTCAGGAGGTAAAGGAAAGAAAAATCACAAAGGACGTCGACGAGGAAGGAAATAATAAAAAAAA